GTAGCAGGATCCATCAGAGACCTGCACCACAGCGTCCTGGAGGACCTCGGGCTGGCCATCAGCAGTTGAGTCACTCAAGACCTGCCAAGAGATTGGAGAAGGGGAAAAAAAAAGAACTCTTATTCATAGATCACTAACAAGTTTCACAGGAAGGTGATCATGACACCAAGCTCTTCCTCCTCCAAAAAAAATTTAAAATCAGAGATATTGAGGAGGAAGAGTTGCACATCCACAGCCACCAAACTGGGAACCACTGTGCACTTCCCAGAATTTAGATTCAAAGGCTGTTGGAGCACTTTGGGACAGTCCCTCTGGGTACCTACCCGCACCACCTGCCCAGCCAGGAAATTCTCACGCTCATCCTGTTGCTCGTAATTCACCAAGAGGTCAGCAATCCATGGCTCCAGGACGTAGAGTTTGGAAGAAGCCACATTCTTGTCCGCACACACAAGACTACATGGGAAGAGACAAGACACCAAGCCATAAGCAGTGCTCCATCATGCTGGGAAGGCTTCTGCACTCCAAGCACAGCCACAAACCCAGGAGATTGCTCAAATCCACCCAAGTGCATCCACTTCTGTGGGGAAAGGGCCCATCCTAAGGGCTTTGTGCTGAGGAAGCCGCAGCGCTGGGGGGCATACAGCTTCTGCTGCATCCTGCTCAGACAGTGCAGGGGGGCACTCATAGCTCTGGAGTGTGCGTGGCTTTCTGCAAGTCTCCCACACAGGAGAGGACATTTATTTCTACCTCTTTCCATATTGTTTATTATCACCCAATAACTAATTTCCTGGGGCCAAATCTTAACTATAACTGTCGGAACTTTGAAAGGGAGAATAACTGGGGACAGGCAGGGGCTGGGATAGATAAGGGTTGGGGACAGGCAGGGGATGAGGGCAGGCAGGGGATGAGGACACGCAGGGGATGAGGGCAGGCAGGGGATGAGGACACGCAGGGGATGAGGGCAGGCAGGGGATGAGGACACGCAGGGGATGAGGGCAGGCGGGGGATGAGGGCAGGCAGGGGATGAGGGCAGGGGGGGGATGAGGACACGCAGGGGATGAGGACACGCAGGGGATGAGGACACGCAGGGGATGAGGGCAGACAGGGATGAGGGCAGACAGGGGATGAGGGCAGGCAGGGGATGAGGGCAGACAGGGGATGAGGGCAGGCAGGGGATGAGGGCAGGCAGGGGATGAGGACACGCAGGGGATGAGGGCAGGCGGGGGATGAGAACAGGCAGGAGCTCAGGACACGCAGGGGCTCAGGGCTGACCCCCTCCCGGCCGCCTCACCGCTCCCCCGCCGCCAGCCCCGGGCTCGCCCCGCCGGGCGCGGCGGCCGCCGCCGCCATGGCCGCGGGGCCGGCACGGGGAGCGGGGCCCGGAACGGGGAGCGGGGCCCGGCACGGGAAGCGGGGCCCGGAACGGGGAGCGGGGCCCGGAACGGGGAGCGGGGCCCGGAACGGGGAGCGGGGCCCGGAACGGGAAGCGGGGCCCGGAACGGGGAGTGAGGCCGGAACGGGAAGCGGGGCCCGGCTGCGCCTCCTCCGGGCGGGGCGGGCGGAGGGGCCCGGCCGCGCCCGGTGCCGCCGCCGCGGGGTCGGGCCCGGCTCCCGACCCTTCCCATCCCCATCGCTTCCCCGGCCCGCCATCGCCACCCAGTCCCCATCCTTGTGTCCCGCCCTGTCCCTGTGCCCAGCCCCGCCGTGTACCCGTCCCCCTGTGGAAGAGAAGGCTCTGGGGCGGTGTTGGAGCCATTTCCAGTACATAGAGATTTAAGACATCGCCCTGGGGTGATAGCATAAGGGGGAACGGGTTCAGCTGAAAAAAAAGGCGGGTTTAGATTAGATAGGAGGAAATTCTTCCCTGCTGGTGGGTGAGTCACTGGCACAGGTTGCCCAGAGAAGCTGAGGCTGCCGCATCCCTGGAAATGTTCAAAGCCAGCTTGGATGGGCCTCTGAGCCTAAGGGAAAGTGCCCCTGCCCATGGCGGGGTGTTGGAACAACAGGTCCCTTCCAGCCCCAGTCATTCCAGGATTCCCCATGCTTTGGCCAGCTCCTGTAGTACAGTTTCCCATTAAGTAGTTCACACATGATGCCAAACCATCCCTGGAACTCTACCTTGTTTTTATGTTCTTTCCTTTAGTTTTGGCTCCAGCTCCAGATAATCCCAGGGGTTCCCCAGATGGAAGAAGCATCCTGCCACAACAGCCTTGCCCATCCTTTATCTCATCTTAAGATATTAAATCCACTAGGTCAAATCTGTCAAGCAGCCTAGGAAATGTTCTGGTCCAAGGGATGGCAAATTCCTCCCCTCACCCAGTTCAGCTGTGACTTGAGGCAGTCAGTGCTGTTCATCCCTGTGCCAGAGGCTCTGGTTCCATCAGTGAGCTGCCACGGAGGGCAGTGAAATGGCACGACAAGGTGGATGTAATTGTCACCCTGTGTTTGGTTTCCATGGCCAGGTTTTGGTCGGGGGGGCTGCTTCTGGGGTAGCTTCTGTGGGAAGATACCAGGAGGCTCCTCCATGTCCAGTGGCAACAGCTCCAGGACAGACGAGTTGCTGGCCAAGGCCAAACCCTTCAGCCACAGTGGTAATGCTTTTGTGATAACATTTAAGAAGAAAACAAAAAAGTTATTGTGCAGATGTAATTGCAGCCAGAGAAGAGCTGAGTGAGAATACGTGAGGGGAATAGCTCAGCAGACACCAAGGTCAGTGCAGAAGGAGGGGGAGGAGGTGCTCAGGCACTGGAGCTGAGATTCTCGTGCAGCCCATGGTGAGCCAGCTGTGCCCTCGAAGCCCATGGAGGCCATGGGAATGCAGAGATCCACCTGCAGTCCCAGGAGGAGCCCATGCTGGAGCAGGTGGATACCTGAGAAGAGGCTGTGAACCCATGGGATGCCTGTGCTGGAGCAGGGTCCTGGCACAAATCTGCAGACCTGTGGAGAGAAGAGCTCATGCTGAAGCAGTTTTCCCAGCAGGGCTTGTGACCCCATGGAGGGCCCAAGCTGGGGCAAGCTGTGCCAGAGGGACTGCACCCCATGGAAGAGTGATCCATGTTGCAGCAGTTTGTGGAGAACTGTTGCCCAGGAGATGGACTCATGTTGTAAAAGTTCATGTAGAACTGTCTGCCATGGGATGGACCCCATGCTGCAGCAGGGGAAGGACTCCCAACTCTTCTCCCTGAGTCACAACAGGGAAAACCTGTGATGAACTGACCATAACCCCCATTCCCTGGCTCCCTGCACTGCTGAGCAGGGGGAGGTAGAGCTGGGAAGAAGGGAGTGGTGGAGGGAAGGTATTTTTTTAAGATTTATCTTCTCATTATCCTGCTCTGATTCCGTTAGTAACAAAATTCAATTAATATCCCCAGATTGAGTCTGTTTTGCCTGTGGTGGTATTTGGTGAGTGATCTCTCCAGGACCTTATCTCAGCTCATGAACCTTTGTTACATTTTTTCTCTCCCCTGTCCAGTTGCAGAGGGAAGTGATAGAGTGGCTTTGGTGGATGTGAGGCATTCAGCCAGGGTCAACTCACCACACACACAGAAGAGTAGGCAGCAGGGTTTGCTCTTACTGACAAAAGCTGCAAAGGGTGCATTTGGATGAAGGATCAGATCTCCTGAATATGTCAGCCCATCATTGTCCAGTTGCAAAGGACCTTGGAGCAGCATGTCCAGCTGGAGCAGGAGACATTCCACAAGCTTATGCCCCCTAGTCCTGGCCAATCATGTCCTGTATAAGTGGTTATTAATTATTTTAAACTACCTACACAACATCTCTGAACTATCTTAAATGTGTATCTTCCACTGTTGCAATTGGTCTGTGCAGTTTGAGTGATGCTGCAGCAGGAACCAGCTGGGGAGGCTATGGGATCATAGAGTCAGAGAATCATTTAGACAGGAAAAGATCCCTGAGACCACCAAGTACAATCCATCCGTCATCCATCAGATGCCCAGATCCTCCCTGTGTGGTGGGGACACATGGAAACATGCAGGTCATGGTTCTCCATTGATTTTTAGGTGCAATAGTAGCTCCTGGGGGATGATTCTATGATTCAGTGATCCTCAGGCCTGTCCCAAAGCTCCTGAATCCACCAGTGAGATGCTTCCCTGGGAGTTCAATCCATCTGTTGGTTCAGTCTCTGCTGCAGGAAAGATCTGGGGAGTCTCTGGACCACCCTGGGGCTGGATGTTCACCTGCAGTGTGTGTGCCTGGGCACGGCCCTGGCTCCCAGCCACACCCAAGTGACACCCAGGGGCAAAACTGAATTTTATCATAGGATCACAGAGCCATAGTTTGGGCTGGAAAGGATGTTAAAGACCATCTAGTTTCAACCCCCCTGAACAAGTAGGGATGCCTTACACTAGATCAGGTTGCTCAGAAGCCCATGCAGCCTGTCCATGAAAAGTTCCAGGGATGGGGCAGGGATTATCCTTCTATCACATTTCAATATTATAGGTGCTGTTAGAGCAGACTCTGAGGAAAGGGGTCATTCTGGTCAGCCCTGGAAGGTTTTTCCCAGGGGTCCTTGGGGGTTTTGAGGTTTCTCAGCCTATTCTCGTGGCCAAGGAACACTTGTCTGTCCTGGCTGCTCCATCCTCAAGTCCTCAAATGACATTCACCTGTCCTGACTGCTCCATCCCCAACCCTGGCTTTGGCATTGCACGAAATAAGGCCAACAAACTGCACTGTGCAGAGTCAGCGAGTCCAGCCTTGCCTGCCTGACCTTGGGCAAGGGGAGGGACAGGCCTGGGATCCCAAGAGGGAGGGAGGTGGTGGGAGAGAGTGTCGCACTGCAAGGACAGGGACAGTGCTGGCCCTGAAAACCAAAAGGCTCAGGTTTGGTAGAGCGGGGAAGGTACATAAAGAAGCACTCTAGACACCTTGCCCAGGGCATTCCCTGTCTGGGCAGGACACTTGTCTCCCTTTGCGTCATTCCACAGCCAGCAGGAGAAGTGGATCATGGGTATGGACCAGAGCCAAGAGATTGAGGTGCAGGCAGAGAATTTCCAAGAGCCTGGAGCTGATGCAAGTCCTCATGGGAACATGCGAGATAACCAAGTAGCAAAAGGCAGTGGCAAGGTCCAGGCGAGAGCAGTGCAGCCACAGCCAGGGCAGCATGGCAGGGCTCCACGTCCGCTCTCTTCTGGTGACTGGGGCCAACCGAGGCATCGGCCTGGGGCTCGTCCAGCATTTCCTGAGGATGCCAAACCCACCACAGTGGATCTTTGCGACCTGTCGGGACCCCAAGGGACAGAGAGCGCAGGTGAGACTGAGCAGAGGGAGACTGGATCAGGAATGGTGTTTCCAAGGGCTGGAGCTGCAGTCAGGCACCCACAGCACAGGTCAGCTGGTTTGGGACACCATAGGACCAATTGTGCATGGGATACGTGGAGGGGAGAATGAAACATGGCATGTATAGAAGGCACAGAGCCCCATTGATGTGGTGGCTGGAACAGTTGTCTGACACAAAGTGATGCAGGGACAGAGATGGAGTGGCATGGGATTTGCCTGGGGAAGGCTGAGCCTCTGCACAGCCCCTCCAGCCTCTCCATGCCTACACAGTGTCCTCTCTTTCAGGAGCTACAGAATTTGGCTTCCAAGCACCCCAACATCATCATCATCTCGCTCGGTAGGTGCCCCGAGGTGTGGATCCTTTGCCCCAGTTCCTCTGGCAAGTGCCCAGGCTGGGCACACCCCGGGAGCCCCGTGCTGGGCGGGAGCTGTGCCAACGGGCCGGTGCCGGTGGCGCCATCGGGCACTGCCACCTCCGGAGGAACAGAGGGGACTCCACCATGGGGACGCAGGCTCTGACCTCCCCTGTGTTGGCTCTGCAGAGGTCAGCGACCCCACCAGCATCAAGGCAGCTGCAGCCAAGGTTGGGGAGCACTTGGGGGGCTCTGGGCTGAACCTCCTCATCAACAATGCTGGAATTGTGAAGCTGAACACACTTGATACCGAGACATTTGAGGATATGAGGGAGATTTACACCACCAACACGGTTGGACCCCTGCTGATGGGCCAGGTGAGACCCTCACCCAAGCTGGGCTGTCCTGGGGGAGTATGAAGAAGGGCTGGTGGAAGGGGATCCTGCCTCCACTCTGGTTACAAATGGACTCTCAGTTATAAGAAGCTTGTGGAGCCATGGGCTGGAGCTCAGGAACTGGAGCCTGGCAGGGAAGAGGAGGGAGGATGCCTCTGTGCTGGTGTCAGTGCTGCCCAGTGTGGAAGGAGCTTCTCCCCTGCCCTGTGCCATGTCCATGTGTGCTTCTGTCCCCTCTGTCTCCTCGCAGGCGTTTCTGCCCTTGCTGAAGAAGGCTGCCCAGGGGAGCCCAGGCTCAGAGCTGAGCTGCAGCAAGGCTGCCATCATCAACATGTCCAGCATTGGCGGCTCCATCGCTTCTTCCTATGGTTGGGAGTTGATGCAGATCACCTCGTACCGCTGCAGCAAGGTACTGCCACACCTTTGCTTCCCCTGCCCTGGCCAGCTGCAGGTCCCCTTGCAGCCCCCCTTCCCCTCCCACCACTGTCCCCACACTGTCTCCCCACAGGCTGCTCTGAACATGCTGAGCAGGTGCCAGTCCCTGGCGTACAAGGAGCACGGCATCCTCTGCGTGGCTCTCCACCCTGGCTGGGTGCAAACTGACTTGGGCAGCTGTGCCGGACACGCGGTAGGGATTGCACTGGGGCGGGTCCATCAGAGCTCTGCTGCTGACTTCACGTGGGTGGGAGCTGCTGTCCTGAGCCCCTGCCCATGACTTCCCTGCCTGCCCAATCCCTGCTGGGGCATTTCCCCCTGTCCTAGTGCTGGGTGTCCCCCTTCCCTCAGTTCTTGTCTCAGTCCCTCCCTCTGGGGTTGTCAGCTTTCCCTTTGCCCTGAAGCAGCTTTCCCCTGACTCCAGCTGCTCCAGGGCCCCCAGCCAGGCCTTGGGCATGGGCTGCATCTCCTCTTCTGCCCCACAGCCCCCTGTGACAGTGGATGACAGCGTGCAAGGGATGCTGAAGGTCCTCTCCTCCCTCTCTGAGAAGGACACTGGTGCCTTCCTGGACTGGGAAGGGAACGTCTTACCCTGGTGAGACACCACTTCAGGATCCTGGCAGCCAAGAGCTACCTTTGGCACTGCTCCCACCTCCCCCACATCCTCAATAAACTCCTGCTGAGACCCCCAGCTCTGTTGTGCAGTGCCAGCTCATGGGGTGGCCGTTTCCAGATATCCCACTCCTCCACTGGGGATTGGTGGTGCCCACAGCTGCCCCCAGCCCACGGCTGTCCCTGGCATCCCCATGAGTTAGAGCCAGCAGGTCCCATGGCACTGTGACTGCCCTCTGGAGACCTCCCCTGCAGGAGGCACTGGAGAAGCTGGAGCAGCCCCTCTCCTGAGAGGAGAGAGATCTTCTGAGCCCCTGCAGGACTGGCTTTCCCCTGCCCAGGCTGAGCTGCCTGAGGGGCTGGGGGTCACAGGGAGCAGCTGCCCTCTCCCCTCAGCTGGGGGGTGCCTGGTCACAGGTGGGACAGAAGGACACACAGAGCTTGGGCAGAGCACAGGGATCCTGCCTCGGCTCTGCCAGGGCTCGGACAGGGGGTTTGAGACTGGGTGGAGACAGAGCAGAAGGGCATCACATCAGCTGCCAGAGTTTACAGAGATGAGGGGTACAGGGGGACCACAGG